GAATGTCATGTCGAATGTCATGTCGAATGGCATGTCGAATGATATGAATTGACATGTTGAATGGCAGTTGAATGTTGCCATTCAACATGTCGAATTTTTTAAAATTTACCAGTGATAGTAGTCAATATCAAAAAATTGACTTTAATTAATCAATATAAATAATCAACTAAAGTTGACTAGTTGATAAAATAATATCAAAATCAAATATATATATTGATATGTAATTATAATATTTATTTATTACTCTATATATCAATATATAATATGTGCATCAATATGTGATAGAACACAAACTACAAAATTCTAGAAATTAAATTTGTAAATTATCAAGAGTGTTCAAATCATTCAATTAATTTATTAAAGCTTTATTTAAAACAAACTTGAAGATTAATTTTTATTAGTTTTGACAGAACTGGGGATTATAAATTATTACAGTATAAATAAAAAAATTGATTAACCTGGAATGAATTAACGTACGTATGATAAAAATGGTGAAATTTGATCTAGAGAATTTAATTCCTACCAAGCCACTATGGCGCCCCAACCTGGTACACATTTTCCGTATGCATAACTCCAATTGACAAATTGGACGTATGTCCAATTAATTTTATAATTTTGGGGGACATTGTCCAATACCTAAAGGTCCAAAAAATTATTTGGACGTTTGGACTATGTCCAAACGTCCAATTAAATTTATTTGGGTATTGTCCCAATGCCAACCCTGCTACCTAACAATCTCTTGAACCTCTAGGCTGCTAAAATTTTGCCTAGTACTTGAATTTATTAGGAAATGGATATATTGAAGTAGATGTCTATATGAGCTTTACTATCTATATGAACGATACAGTATAAGAGAATTTATCTTCTCATATTGTTTAATTTAATAATATATATTAATATTTTGATTTTATTAGAAAAAATTTTTCAAAATTAAAATCTTGCACTGCTTGACTTGATCAAATAAAAAATATAAATACACTAAAATATTGTAATAAAATAGCTACGAATAACTACTAATTTATCAATTTTTTTACAACACATTATTTTTGTTAAAATCTTGATTTCTTGATTTTTTTCGATTATTGCCACGCCCTCTTTTCGAAGATTCTGCATTTTCAGAATGATCATTACCTCCTGAAACATTACTATTTCCTTGATTCTGACCTCTTGAAGCATTGTTACGTCCTTTATTAAACCCTCTACCTCCTCTAGAACCATAAGACCCTCTATTGGATGATGTATTAGATGAACTATTTTCAGGACCAACATTTTGATGAGAAGCATTTTGATCTTTCTGCATGGGATTTCTATTTCTTTGAAAACGTTTTGAGGTGTTTTGGTTTTGACTCAATACTTGCTTCACTCCCTATAAATAATTTACAATTTAAACATATTAAATATATTAATAACAAAAAAAAACAAAAACTTCAAATACGACTTTAATAAACAACTACCTCAATTTTTTCAGAAACAAATCGATAAGCTTCGAAAGCATGGCATACCATTAAACTTGTTGGGAACAATTCATCGATTAATTCTTCAGAAATTTGGGCTGGCCACAAGTTCAAAGAATCATCGGTAAAATAAATCGACATTGGATGGTCTTCCTTAATCAAGTTTTTCATCAAAAACCTAAGAATAAATCTTTTTATTGTACCAGCAAATACCTCTGCTGGAATTTTCTTAACCTTCTTTTCATTTTCTTCAGCAATTACATTACCATCATCCATTAGTTGTAAACTATTTTCTTCAGAATCCGTATCATCAGTAATATTAAAGTCAAGCGCATCAGAAATTTCTTTCTCCAGATCTGGTGTTAATGATTCTGCATATTTGTCATCAACATACACAATAACTCTGTTAGCAACTTGTTCTTCAATAAGTTCATATAAAGCAACGACATGTTTAAGCCTTAAATCAACTTTTAAAATATTCATAAATAATTCATTATCAACCAAAACAGAAAGCTTCGCCCATTGTCTTACAAAGTCGCTAATTAAACTTTCGGAATCACTAATTAATTTCCTTTTTACGAAGCAAAGTAAAATTTCTAAACATGAAAGTAATTTTGATGCACTATCATATGACATTGATTCTAAACTATCCATGGTTGAGGAGGTTTTTGTAGATGAAGAAACAGTAGATAAATTAATAATATTCGACATAGTATAACTTGAAATAGATTTTTGTGGGATTAATGTTTTGATGTCACTCAAAATTCTCATATAACCTTTAAATAATTCTAAATGGAAATTAAAGGGTTCCATATATAATTGTGATTCTTCAATTGTATCAATATGAACTTTACCAAAAACTAATTGACGCGCAAGTTCAAATTCTATTTTTTGTAAATCAAATGTAACGTCATCTCCACGTCCCATTTGTAAATTGCGTTGACTATATTGAAGAAGATCATCATTCCATTCATAATTTATAAAATTATTGGGTTTAGCATTTTCTAGACGAATGGACCGAATATAATGATGCATTGTTGTTGTTCCTGTTTGTGAAGAAGTTTGAGTGACTGTTGCATTAAGATTAAGCGAAGCTTCGTCCAAAAATTTCAATGAATTCCAAGATTCTGAAGGAATTGTCATGACATCTTGCAAGAATTCATTTTGCAATCCAACAAGATAATCTAAAATTGCGCAAAGATATACACCTGAATTAACTGGTTCAATAAGTCCCAGAACTACAGGTGAATTAAGATCTATTAATGGTTTTGGATCTGGAATAGCATGACATTGATAATTTTTAACATTATCAATAATTGCGTTCCAAGCTTCAGCAAAATCTTCAAACGCTGGTCTCAAAATATTATTATTAGAATATTCAAAGTCTGCTTCTCCTTCTTCATTATTAATAAATTCTCCAAATGTCAATGTTTCTGCGTCATCCCTACTTAATTGATATTCTAACTTTGAAGATAAAATTTGCACAAAACTAACAATCGGTGAAAGGTGCTTTATCAACGATAGTTTTTCTGAATGTTTAAAGAACTGTGCTAAAAATGGATATTTTTTAGAATGCATATCTTCATCACTCAAATAATGAGCATGAAGACTTTGATAACTGATATCAGAAATAAATCTCCACATTTTTGGCAAATGTTCAAGTTGATAATTATTATCCATTGCTAACGTTTGATTTATTTCTGCTTCAATAATATTAACATTATCCTGGGACTTATCTGCTTCAGCAAGTTTATTTTGGAAGTTTACTGCTGTTTCAGTAACATTTCTAACTTGAGGAGTGACATATTTATCCTTAAATTCGGTTTCCCATTCAGCTCGTTCAGCTGAAGTCTTTAATGAAACCATTTTACATGGTCTTTGAGCCATCAATTGCAAAATTGAATGTAAGACCAATGCCAAATTTTCATCTGAAGTATTAAGTATCCTTCTTAAAACATTCCAATCATTTTTTATATGGTCCGTGCAATATCTGCCAGCATCAGTAGCTGTATTGTTGTTTTTTTGCAGAAAAGATAATGCCAGTGGTGCATGTGCCCAAGCTCCGATTATCACATGAATGAATAAATGTAAAATACGATATGAAGTCGGCGACAACATTCTAACGGAATACGCTGATTCTTGATTTACTGGTTCGCCGATGTACCCAGTCTGGTTCTTGGCATTTAATGACATTCTAAGCGGATTAGTATCTAATTTTGTTTGACCATCAGCTGCAACATGATTTTCACCACCTAAAATAAGAATTATGAAGTCCTTAATTTGTACTTGCAAAAAAAATCAAGCTCATAAATATTAATAAATGAACAATGTCCTTATTTACCTATTCTCCTTCCGCATTCAGGACATGTTCCCGTTCCGTTTGAGAAACCTTTTCACGAAATGAGTGAATGATTAACTCTAGAATAATTAACAAGAATAAAGAATGAAGAAAATATTATAAAAATATAAATACCGCAATCTCCAATAACATATATATATCCACAACTGCATGAATATCTAGAGTTTAATAATAATAATCGTTGGTTAATTACGTAAAACGAAATTTAAGGAATATTCAATAAAAGATAATATGGAGCAATGAAATACCTAGTTATTTGACCTCTCTGAAGAACTGCACTCAAAACAATAGATGTTTCATCCGAAGGAGTAGCCGGAATAAATAATCCAGTACAGTAATGTAAATTCTGTAATAAATGAGCAAGAGGTGACGAATCATGGCGAATGGACGCATGTAATGCAATTGTATGTCCAATAACAGATTTAATCAATAAATCTTGATTATTAATAGCTCCATTAAGTCCTAAAAGTATGTGTTCATTAGAGATGATGCTTTTTATGGTGGTTTTATAGATTGTTGAAAGATGATCAACGCTATCAATTTTTTCTTGTAAAATCAACGCTGTTGAAATTTCATTTTCTGTCCATTGGCGTGAAGCTCTAATTGCGTGTAATCGACTAAATATTAACCCCATTAACGCTAAATGAGATAAGTTTGAATTCTTCTTTTTGAACTTATTAAAAAAGTTCTTTTCAAATGGCCCTTTATTGTTAAAGTTATAAAGAGGTGCAAACGTAGTCTCTAAATTATTGTAATCTTCTATAGATCTGTACGGATTAAAAGGGAACCTATTCGATTTCTTATCATCTTCCCATGATAAACTTGACAACCAAGGAAAAGTGTATTCTTGAGCTTTACAAAATCTCTTCACATCATCCAATGAGAATTCATGACATCGACGCAAAGCACGCAAAAAATATATTCTAAGGGAATGGATCAATGGAACTTGCTTATTTACTTCCATAATGTAGTTAAGTCGGTGGGTTAACTCGGATATTTCAATATCTCCTACTTCTAGGTTATTAATTTCTATAGGGTCTGAAACTTTATTATCACTATTAGTACAATCCCAGAATTGATGAACGAACTCTTTAAGAAATGCTATCGATGCAATTCTATGTAATGTTGCTAAGTCTGATTCTGGTCTTAATAATGCTTTAATAGCATCTTGAAAATATTCTGCTGAATATTCTAGAGTACAATTGGAGAAAATTGATTTTTGCAAAACATCACAACATAAAGTTGCCATAAAAGATCCAAGTCCATGATTTGATAAACAATTGTTAATAGCATTTAACCTCGGAGAGATTATTCGAGCGTTTTTAGGCATTTTGAGCAATTGAAAGAATATATCTTTATTTTTCTCATCTTCTTGTTGAAAGATTTTGTAAATTATTATTGACATAAGTGGAAAAGGATCTTTCGAGAACAAATTTTTATAAAGGTCTAGACGTATATTTGAAATTAATGGAAGAACATCAAGACATTTGATTATAAATAACTTCCTTGGAACATAATCTTTAACTTCAAGAATTTGGAATACTGTCTTGATAAATTTGCTAGTAAAAATTTCTTGCGCTCCCTCTGGATATGCCGCTCTTATAATTTTTTTAATACCATCTAATGGAATTGATTCGGTGGATATTAAATCACTACATATTTGTAAGAGATGGAAAGATTCAATATCAGAAGCTTCTGGGAGTTTTGTACAAAGTGAGATTATCTTGTTAACTTCATGTTGCCATTCTGGTAGTTGATTAATGTCTGTTGATTCAAGCTCAAATAATTTTTGTTCTGATATTTCGTATACAAGGAGTTTTTCAAAATGGTGATCTCCTGGATCATTCATAGCACTAACTTTCGAACACATTTGTGCTAATTGAAATTTCACAAGAACACTACTCGAATTATTCCACCAAAAAATGTGTAAAAGTATTGGATTCAATACTTTCTCAAGTCCAAGTAGCCATTTGAAAATAAGCGACATGATTTGGGTTTTATTTGTTTTCTTGTAACCAGGTTCATTTGAACAAATTACAGAAATAAAATCTTCAAAATATAGTTCCCTACTCCATTCTAATGGTGACGTTTTGAGATGTTTAACCGAATTGAAAATATTATTTGTGAATCCCTTATTATAATCCTCGACTACATCACTAATCAGTGTTCCATCATCATTTAGGTTTTCCGAATCTTCACGAAGTTTGGCAATTTCTTCTTCATAAAGTCTTTTAAAGCGATCGATCTGTTTCATAAAGTAATAAGAAAACGGAAATTTAAGAACATGAACTCCTCCTGGTAATGAATATCCATCTGGCTTTGGTTGTGGTAATAAGTCAATATTAATAATATCTTTATCTGCAAACATTTCTTCCCAAAATGTTGCTAATTGTTCTTGCTGCTCGTCTTTGAGAAGATTGAGATTTATAAATGTTTCGATTGCAGAAAATCGTTCAAGTACGCATAATAATCTTGCTAATGGTTTTCTAACCATCTCTCGAACATGTGTTAATAATGCCGTAACAAACGATGAATGTGGATACAAGGCTTTTTTACTAGATGCAACATGATATTGCCAATCCATTAATGAATCTTCTTGTTCTATCCATTCTTTTGTTCTTGCCTTCAATGCATCAACAAGTTCTTGAACTTTTGGAATCTTTTCGCTTACGTACCTACAAAAACATTTACATAAAAATTAATATAAAAAAAAAAAAAAAAAAAGAATTGAAGAAAATGATATTGAAAATTGAAAAATTACTTCAGATGGTTAACTCCTTTAAGAGTAGATGGGTATTTAATGCATAATAAACACCACAATAATTCTTGTTTCAAAATCTCTTCAAACGGATAAGTCTCTTCGATAATGTCACAAAGATTTCCGTATAAAAGTGATGATAAAGGTTTCTCTTGTCGAACCAGTGTTTCAATTGTAACCTGTTTCCACTTGCACATAAAGTTGAAACCTTTCCATCGCACTTGATTGTCTCTATGTATGTGAAGTATTATACACACATGTTTAATAAAGGTTTCTTGCTCTTCTGATTCTTGCTCTTCTGATTCTTGAGCCTCTGATTCTTGGGCTTGCTGTTTCATTTTTGACAAATATTCTGATCGATATTGTTCTATCAAAAATTTGGCCAATTTAATGCATCCAGCGTTAGCAGTTGTAAGATCGCACTGTAATACCAACATCTTTTTATTTGGAGAATCGAACCAAAATCGTTTAATTTGATTTTGAAACTCTGCTTCGGTTTTAAAGGTTGAAAGTTTAAGCACTTGGCAAGGCAACAAATCTTTAAGACATTTTACAATATCCGTATTGATATTTGAAAATGTGTTGATAATAATCTGATGACCTTTGGTTGTCTCATCTGTAGCGAGCAGAGATGAAAAATAATCTTCCAGATGGTCATGATGTTGATCTTTAAAGTATACTTTTTTGCAATGCTCTATTTCTTCCGGTTCCAATGCAGATTTCTAAAACGAAAATATAAAATAAATTATGATCTATATTTCATATCTTTATATCTTGAAAGAATTTTTTTATTATAATAATTACCTCAGCTCTGACAATACCGTCAGAAGATGCAATCGCAATTAAACATTCTTTACATTTTTCCAAGATTTCCGAACTACTCATCCAGTTATAAGTTTCTTTAATATCAACCACCAAACTCTGAATTGTTTCATCAGGGTTAAATCCAATAAACAAGTCATTCAATGTAAATCTATCTTGCGAAACAGCGAGCTGTGTTGATGTTATAGTTGACATTCTATTTGCCCAAGAACTTAATTCTTCAACTAGTTCTTCATGATCTGATGTAAATGTATCTTTCATTGTCATTCTTTGTTTTTCAAATCGGTTTAGAAGTGGTGGGTCGGCATCTTTTACTTTTGATTCATCCATTACTAGAATACATCTAAAGTTCTTTGACACGGACCTATATAATGGTTTTTAATTTTATTTACATTGAAAATTTTGCGAATGAAGAATAAAGTATAAAGTATTGAAACTTACAACATTGGATTTGCATAAGCACCAAGAGCTACTCTTGTATAATATTTTGGATCATCTTTACTACCAACTACGATATAATTTTGGTTCCATAAATCATAAAGACTTCCTATAAACATTTACATTATTTAACTTAGAAATTATTCTTTACATACAGAAAAATAAATAATGAATGATTTAAGGAGTTACCGTAGATTATATCCAAGTCAGTTAGGATGAGAGGTCTACCAGCCTCGACACACATCTATATTATACAAGAGTTATTATCAAATACTTAACGCCAAATGTCAGGAAAATTAATGCCAATAAAATACTGTACATACCATAATTCTACTCAAAACAGTATACGAATAATCACTTCCTTGATCATTTTGATCTTTTGGAAATTGAGATCCAAAAATAACAACTGGTTCCAATTCTCGTTGTCTCAATTGATAGACTAATAAATTAACTATTGAATCACTGTTTCCGATTACCATTAAATGTCTAGCGAATTCATCCTCAAGATTCTCATTAATTAAAACTTCAGTCGATATTTTTTCGTAAGTCCAACTTTGATTTGAATTAAAAATGTCTATAACATTTCCAAAATATTTTTTACATATTTCAGAATGGTTATTGGAGCCACCAAAATTTCTAGCTAAAGCCATTTGCATATTTTTTGGTGTTAATTCCTGATTTGAAAGACTTTTAACTAAAGAATAGTAATCTCGAAGTCCATGGAAATTTGGAATTTCTTGATCGGATTTTTCATAATTTAAGTAGGCAGTTGCTAAGTGTCTTACAGAAGATGGTTGTACCTTTGTAGTTGATTCGTCATTAAGCAAACGTACTGCGATCTCTACAAGATCATCAAGAGTTAATTGCGGTCTGCACATAAATGTGTTATGCATTTGAATTAGTACATAAATCGTATGCATGCTAAATGGATCGATTTGTATTCAAAGAATAACATACCTTTGTACTAACAATGCCCTACTACTCTTGCTATTGTCCAATCTCCAATTGCTAATTCCAACAACAGAGACAGTTGGTCCTTCAGCAGGATAACTCGGTTCCAGTAGAGAATGAAGAACTTTTAATGGATTATGTGGACTTGTTTCAGCCAAACCAACTTCATCCAATAACACGACACTGACTACTGGAAAGTCATCAGAACTTGTGTCTTGAAACTTTTTTGCCTTTTCAAAGACTTTAATTATACCATCAGATGTTGATGATGATGATCCTTGATGAGGAATCAAATAAACCTATTTACAATCGTATAATCCATATTAATAAATTTTATAATTTAAATTATACCATACTATATGTACCTGAGGTAGTTTTTTAAAGTATGCATCGTTGGAATCTGAACCACGTAAGTTTTGACTTACAAGTCGAATTGCTAACGATTTCGAAGAACTGTAAATAAAGATAAACTTGTGATGACTTGTTCAATAATTTATCAAAAAAAATAAAAATAAAAATGTAAAGAGATATACGTTCATACCCAGGTGCTCCAATAATAAACACGGGAATTTTGGTGAGGATGCAAACAATCATCACCAGCACATTTTCCAATAACGCGTCATTTTTTGCAGTATTGAATGGGAGTGTCATTCTATCAACGTAATCTTCTTGTTCTTTTCTAATCACTTCTTCAAACAACTCTTCTCGAATTTGAATCTTATTTTTAAGAAATATTTTACACATCTCTTTCCTATATGCTGTTCGTTGTTCTTTTTCATATAATCTAGATTGATAACAAAGTCCTAATCCAAGGATATACGAACGAAAAATCATATTAGGTCTAGCATTAACAGGTGGATATGACACATTTTTCCTAACTCGAGGCCGGTCTTGTAATGAATCATGAAAGAACTTTATTAAAGTGATAGCTCTTTTAACATCTCTCAAACTAACAGTATATTTTTCCTCAATATTTCGAATAAATTGTTGTGATGTAAATAATAAATCAGGAAGAATGTCATGATATAAGTTATTTTCATAAAGTTGAGTTTTTGTCATAATCTCTATATATTTTCTTTCATCGCTTGGTTCTAAAACACCATAATCCCAAACATAATCTAGGATTTGATCTGGTAATGGTTTCACTTCATATACTAAATTACTTCTTTGTTCATCAAATCTTTTAATTTGTAAACCTGCAACGCTTGAACTTTTAGTTCTAATTCTGTATGGATTACATGCGGCAAATATTTTAATATTTGGATGCACCATTTGGTTGCCTTTATACACTCTATGAGCTATTAGATCTGATAAAAGACCTATATGATTACATGTATTGATTTCATCAAAGAATAACCAGACTTCATGTTGGTCAACGTTTTTCTGAGAATCTTCCATAAATTGATTGATTATTTCCTCTGTTATACCAGCATGAAGATTTAAAGCATGAAATTCTGCTTCGACCACTCTGGCGAGGAAGCTAATCAAGCTTGTCTATTTATTAATAATTACAAAAAATTTTTTTAGTCATTAATCCATTAGATTCTTGTCATTGCATCTTGATCACGTTTATTATGGTCGAATGATCATGATAGATGACTTTTACGTATTATAATGTAAATTGTATAATGTATAGGTTAAAAAAATATATATATACCTTGCCACATCCGGCTTCACCACAGATTACTACAGGCACATTTGCGCGTGTTCTCAACAAAATTAAAGCCATCTTCAAAAGATTATCGGCTGATAAAGCATAAGGTGGGTAATTAATTTGATGTTGAGTTTTACGTGCTAAACCTTCCAATCTATGCAACAATAATTCCATATGCATCGTTCTATAATCTTCTAGCTGCCATTTATCTCTAGAAATGTGTTGACTTTTAAGTAAAGTTTGAACATTTTCAGGAACTTTTGCTCTATCACGATATAAAGCACAAATAGAATCTGGTGTTTGAGACATGAAAAATACTAAAAGATGATTAGAATCGTCCCAACTAGTTATATTTTCTAATTGATCTGGTGAATCTGAAAGTGCTTGTTTTTGAGAACTTTTGGTTTGAATTGATCTAGTGGCAAAATCTTTAGAAACATCCATTAAGGTGTTGAATAAAGTTAATCGAATGTTATTTTCTTTGATCATTAATCGTAGATTCTCTACTGTGAAAAATGAACTACATGACAACCGGATCTTTAAAAAGAAAATAAAAATTTAGATAATAATTATAAACGAATAATAAATTGCAATAACTATGAATATAGTATGAATATACTGTGAATAAATTTACAATCTTACCAGTTGATTGGCAAAAACATTAATAAAGATTTCGAGGAATCGATAAGATGTAAGATCAGGTGTAATAGTCTCAAAGAAATATTTGGACAATAATTGTTGACATCTTTTAGAAGGAAGAGATTTTAGCTTAGGCGGTAGATAAGATATTTCATATTCATCCAATGACGCATTCTCATATGCATTTAAGTAATGACAAACTACTTGAACTGGACTACAAATCTCATTTGATACGATTAATTTTTTAAGATTGAAGCGAAGATGCGGAGTATCTAAATAACTAACTATTGGTAATGATTTTGCTAGTCGATTATCCACGCTAGAAGCAACTTCGATATATATGTAGATATCAGGAAGGGTTGCAATATCGCTTTGATGAGAAACAATTCCGAATGTTAATAAATGGAATAAAAACATATTAACTTCCCAAGGATTGTCTGCTGATATGATGTTAATATGTAAAGAATCCAATTCCTTACGAATCGGAAATTTCATAAATTGTCTCACCAATTTGCCAAAATCGGCTCCATCATTAACAATAAAAGTACGTGGAATAAATTTTTTTCTATAACTTTCTTGTTTTATCCATTCAGTCTTTCCTTGTCCAGATAAATCAGAAGTTACACAGACTACTTTTCGGCATATAGCTCGATACGATTCTTTCATTGATTTAGCACTTAATCCATCGGTTTTACGAACATACTCAGAAAATTGATCCAAAATATGATGATGCATTCCCGATTCTTGACAACAAATTAAAGCCAGGTAAAAATTTTTGGCTTTATCTAAAAGATTTCGTATTTGTTTAACTACATAATATTGCAACTTATAGTCAAGAACCTCTAGATTAGCCATACAAAAAAGATAATCATTGTATCCATTGTTCGAAGCAAATGAACATCGCTTAATAAATATTGCAATTTCCTCTGAAGTTGTAGATGATGTACAAATTAAGAGTTGCCATGCGTTAGGATAAAATTTACTGTTAGCATATAATGACATTATAATATTAGTAATAACTGATCGATCACTGCATGCAGCGACAAATAATTTCCCGGGGTATACAACATCAGAAACTACACGTTCACCACATTCTTCGAAAGGAATAGGATCTTTTGGTAGAAATTCAAAAATGCTCATTAATCTTGCTCCAATTTCACAAAGAATTCTGTAATGATTATTTTTAACACTTAATGCATCTTTAGGATTTCGCATTGATGGTAATTTGGCTTCAAAATTGACATATCTTACAAGAGTTTCGCAAGTCCTTTCGCAACTCCTTCGATTAGGCCCCTTGCTATTGCTAAAATAATCATAAAACGAAAGAATGTGTCGAGCGGGAAAGAATGTTAAATAATAATGTTCTTGTTGGACCTTTGATACCGTGCTTTCCCTAAAGTTGAAATAATAAAATTAAAATATGCATTTAATTAAATTTAACTTATTTTTTTTAAAGTATAAATTCCACTTACCAAGCTTTTAAATCCTTTTCTAAATTTTTAAGATGTGTATTCAATTGTTCTAAACCTTTAACTTCTTTCTTGTAGTCACGATAATTAAAATGACCAGCCTCGATAAGCTTAGTAGATTCATCAATAATGTTTTGTGCCTTGTCAACTTGTAGTACAAATTCATTCATTATGTCTTTTGATTCTTCCTCATCTTCAGTATATATTGTAGATGCAGGTTTAGCTATTAACAATGCTCGACCACGTAAATCTTGCAAATCATTCATAGAATATATCATCTTTACGCCATTTTTAGATGAATAAGATAAGGTAGTAGAGCATGTATCATCCTTTGATGTCCATTTAAACTCATAGACACCAATCTTGACTGCGTTCTAAAAAATATATATATTTAAATATAAATATACAAGCTTTTGCAATTCATGATTATTAGATTATTGATAAAAACTTACATAAATCTTTTCCTTGGTTACTTCGCCACGATTCGAAATAGCAGCTATATATTACCAAATAATTGATATTAATTATACGTATAAATGATAATCATAATGATGATAAGCATATAATGAAATATAAAAATATCCATGCATACCATACATATTTTGTAATGCCATACTGTTGCAATTACACAAAGTAATTTTACTAGCTAATGAAAAATTAGTTTCTGTAACATTTCGTATTTCTTTCAAAAATTTTTCTCGTGAACAACTTTCTGCTTCAATCATAATCGGTAAAAGAAACTGTTTAACTTGAATTAAAGATGATACTGTATCTTCCTGAATAAGTCTTTCATCAGAATGATCGTCTACTCCATTAATCAAATTCTTAATATCATGGTCAGCTATGGATCGAATCCAATTCAAGAAATCTCCAGAAAGAGACAACTCCTTTATCAATGCCCAACATGCATTATCAATCATTTGAAGCCTTTCATGTAATAGATCAAAAGAATCACTCAATATTCCTAATGTCAGCGTTTCATCATCTTTCAGGTCATCTAATGTATCTAGCAACCAATCATCTTCATCCTCATCCATTTGTATCCTAAAGATGGATTCAACTACGCTAAGTTGTTGTAATTTATCGATCCATTGGGTAACTTTGGAAATATCAGTTAGTGTTCTTATTAATTTTGGACTTTTTTCAACTTTTAATAAATCACCCATCAAATCAAGTTCGCTAGTGACATCTGGAACTTTATCCCATAAGACTTTGGCATGTGAAAATCTCTGAGTTTCCCATTTCGAATAAGAACTACACCACTGGCAATAGTCTTTATAAATATCTGGCATTGTACTAGCTAACCATTTAACTTCTTGAACATCACCTTCAAATGTGTCATTCAATATGAGATTCAAAAAGTTCTTGAATGTCTGAGATTTCCTATATTTATATAACTCTTCAGCAATTCCCAACACATCTATGTGCATTCCCCAATAATAAGTCAAAGATGTGTCTCTAAGCGTAATAACCTTTTTACGTTGATGCATTTCATAAATGTCATCTGTATACTCTTTAACATCAAAGGCAATGGATTGTGGACAAAATTCGGTATAAAAAGAATTAAGATAGTCAAGACCTAATCCATAAATTTGATTTTTTTTTCGAATATTTGTCAGGATATCCTTGTTTATAGATGGTAAATCATCCTTCATAATAGCGAAACCAAAATATGTAAGCAAAAAATCATCATCTTTCTTTAAAAGTTCTTGAAGTAAGTCGATACTAATAGATTCTTCAATTAAAATTTCTGCAAGATGAGAAATAGCATTCCGAACTTCTTTAATTTGTGGATGTGAGTGTAATTTATCAACACTTCCGGTGGCTTTCAATAGTTGAATCCAAAAATCTCCAGATTTAAGTAAAGAAAGGTGAAAATTCTCGGTAAAAGTTTGGGAATCACAAGAATTTTGTAATCGAGTCATGATATAGTACAAGACATCCTCACTAAAACTATTATGAAATAACTGATAAGTTTTTGCACTATCTTACAATAAAATTATTGTACTGATCAAATGAAAAATCAATAATCATAATTTTTGATCGGTAAATTTGTTTCCAAAGGTACTGAATGTTTGCTAGCGCTATTCTTGTTGAATAGATGAAACTAAAATATCTACTGTAATGAACGTTATTTCGGAAATTGCTCCTTTTAGAAGCATCACAAAATAACGCCCAGGCGCGTCCCGAAATAACTCCCATGAACGTTATTTCGGAAATTGCTCCTTTAGAAGCATCACAAAATAACGTCCCGAAATAACTCCTACTTCGTATTAGCAAATTTGACATATGTGTATTGAGTTCAAATTTTAACACTTTGATTCAAATAACGCGCATGGGCGTCCCGAAATAACGCGTTATTTCGCGACTATACGATATTAAGCAATATGATTCAAATAACGCGCATGGGCGTCCCGAAATAACGCGTTATTTCGCGACTATACGATATTAAGCAATAGTATAGCAATATTGTACCTTCGGCAATCAATTAACCAAGCCAACAACATGACCTTACGTTTATTTTTAGCATTTTGATCAGTGCTATTGCTAGTATTTATTCTTACCTTGTAGGTATTTCCAATTCATCAGTGGTACAATCACAAATCAGTTTGATCTTTGTCATAAGTTGATTGTCCGCACATAATATAGATACAGTTAATCTGTCTTTCACCATAGCAATAAATGCTTCTATAACTGGTGGCTCTAACCTTTGCGCTACTTTATTCACAGCACCAAGAATAATATTTTCAGAAGTAAGTCTAACACGATTTACTACAATTTCAAGTAAAACTTCCCAAATAGGAATTTTACCAATGTAAGGATAAACCTTTGAAATATGATTGAACGCCATAAAGGCAAATTTATTTCTAAGATCAGTATTTGAGCTAGAACAGCTTGACGCCCGATCTAATAAATGACGATACCATTGCTTGCATAAAAGTGAAAGCTTCTGTTCTTGTTCATCTATTATATTGAACGTTTTAAATCCAAATTTCAACAGCTCATGAAATCGTGTCAGGATTCCAAGATCTACACTTTGGGAAACAATATCTAGCACATTGAAATATTCCTCTAAAGACCATTGAATTTGATCATTTGTTAAAAGATTGGTAATTGCATCCAATTGATTTTTGTCCCATTGTTGGTTTTGTCTAGTCGATAATAAACGTAAAGATTGTTTCCGAAATATCTCAGTAAACATGATTTTGAGTTGTTCAGGTAAATCACTGTAACAAATATAAAGATTATTGCATAAAACAGTGCGGCTTAAAATAGATCGAGCACGTTCAATTAAATTCGGTCGAAGTAATTCATCAATCTCATCATCATGATTAACAATTTCTTGCCACACAGTAACAAGGAACTTCATTGTATTGCATTGACGGAACAACCACTATCAAAACAAAATCAAAACGAAATCAAAACAAAAAATCAAAACAAAAATTATTAAAATCATAATTATCGCTAACAACATTAAATAATAACAATAAACAACGTGAAAAAATAATAATCTTTAGATACCTCGACAATTTTCGCATAAAGTTCTTTATCATCAATTGTGCGAATAATCGGAGTAACAAATTCATTAAAACTCTTGAAAAAATTATTCATCGTTTTTTCGCCATAATTAAAATCTGTTAAGTAATTGAGGAATTCATATTTTGGATCGATAAAATTAGCTACACCAAAAACTTTAAGCCAATCGTGTGTTTCACTTAGAGATAAATAGTTGTGTCGAACCAAAAGTGGAATTGTCAATGCCAATATTTTATAAGTGCCAGATTGGAACGTTTCAGCATTAATATTTTGAATTGTTTCAAAAACAAGAGATGATTGAAATTTTGGAGGCAAAGAAGAATATTGTGAATCTCTTCCTTTCACGTAATACCCCAAGAGAACACATAAGAAAAGCCTTTTTTCCAGGGATTTATCTTCGAGAAATGAATTCATTATAAACTCAATGGATGTAGCAGCTTTTGTTGACTTCGGATAACGTTCTAAAATCTTTTCATATTTCATAATCTTCTCTTTAAGGTTTTCAGAAGTCACAGAGTCATAAATTATCTTCACTAAATAAACATCCCTAAATTCGGAAGGGAAAGTGATTTTACTACCATTTTCTTCCCAGATCTCATATTTATCACCTCCATCAACTTCAAGAACACGATTTTTACCTCCTTCTAATATTAAAGGTTTACTCTTGCTCTTTTTGCCTTTCTCTTTAATTGCATACTTGTATTCGATAGTAACTTTTTTTTCAAATTGTGCAAGTGGAATGCGAACTGGTTTCGATTCCCAGCATGATGTAGGTTTGCCATTAATTTTTTTCTCTGTGAGCTTAATTGTGGTTTTATCTTTATCCCAATCTCCTAATTCCGGTATATTACCAACAACAACTAAATGATTAAATCAGAAAAAAAAAAAGATCAATAAATTAAATTAATTTAGTTTAATTTTATGTATTTAAAAAAATATATTATATTATAAAACTTACATGGAAATCCGATTTCATTGATTCTTGGCATATGAACATAGAATACAATTACAATGTCATCGTTATTTACTTTCGGAAGAACTTTTTCAATAAGCTTTCCAACCATATCTGTAATTCCGACCGTCCCTGAAGTAGACTGTCCAGCTTGATCAGAGTTTTTCTGGACCGAATTATCGTGTTTCAAGTCTTTATTTTCTATGTCCAAATTAAGGATTTCTTGTCGAACAGATTGTCCACTTTGTAATGAAGCAGACTTATAAGAAAAACTTTCTTGACTTTCACTATCTTGTCTTTTTTGATCATTATCATGAGTATAGGAGAGAACTTCATCATCTTCATCATCTTCATCCTCTTCATCCTCTTTATCTCCTTCATTGGTGTTATCGTGGTCACTTTTAGTAACATCATGTTTTACTTGCTTTTGTTTCTTTTGCTTAGCGGATTTAGCTTTATCAATACTATCTATATTCTCTTTAAAATTAGCATCAGTCTCGCTAAATTGTGGATTAGTATTTTTATTATCACTATGTTGAAGTATCATGACATTTTCACTTTCATTTACATTATCTGATTGATCTTGATTTTTTGAGGAATCCGCAACTAAAGCAACATTTTTTCGTAAGGATCGAGCTTTATGACTACCTTGACCATAATCTTTTTGTCCTGATTTTACATTTTCAGTATGAAAATTATTTTCAAAATTTTGAGAATTAGAAGAATAATCGGAAAGATCCACTTGATTCGTTTTATTTAATAAATTATCTCTTTCCAAAGATGAAAAATTTTTATCAGGACTTTTACTAGAAAATTCATTATTCACAGCAGTAAACCCAGAATTTTCAGTAGAATGAGAATCATTCTCATAATTTAAAGTATCAGAATAGGTATTTGATGATTCACTTGATACAATCGCAGTATTATCCCTATCTTCATTTAAATTATTACTTCCATCATTCGGAAGCTTTTTTCTTTTATCAGAACGTTTATTGTTAAACTCATTACGCACCGGAGTATTTTTTGATTGAGGAACATCTTCATTATTTAAAGCACTAGGATAAGTTTCCGATGGGCCAGGTGACGTAATTGAAACACTTTCTCTATCATCGTCTAACTTATTATTTCCACTATCATTTAACTTGTCTTTTTTTCTTCTATTTTGACGTTGAGACTTACCACGTATCGTAGTAGTTGAGCTTTCGCTATATTGAAAATCATCCTCTTTATTTAAATAATTAGAGTTATGTGTTGCAGTAACAATATGATCATCAATTTTATTTGAACGTTTATTATTAGACTCAACATACACAGCGACAGAAGAATCATCTCTGTTATTTGAAGTGTTGTCAACACGTTCTCTGCCGTCATTTAACTCATTAATTCTGTTATCATTTAGTTTATTTTTGTTTTTTCTATTCGGACGTTTAAACTCATCACGTGCAGTAGTAACAGATAAATCTTCATTTAAATGAGAGTTACCTTCGTTATTTGAGGTATTAGGATAGGATTGTGATGGTCCATGAGGAGCGAAAGCAGTACGATTCCTATCATCATTCATTTCGTTGCTTCTTCTTCTGTTAGAACGTTTGTTAGATTCATCATGAACAGAAGTAATTGCAGTACTCTCAATATAGTGAAAAGTATCTTCGTTATTTGAATAAAAGTTTGATGGTCCATGAGAAGTAATCGCATTCAAATCATTATTTCCGTCATTTAACTTATCATTCGAAAAGTTTTTTTTTTTATTCGAACGTTTATTGTTATCCTGACGATGATTATTATTATTTGAAGCCATTAATTTTCAATCAATAAGATTTTCTTTGGATGTTCTCTTATTTCCAAAGAAAACTACGTACAGTAAACGTAAGTACGATTTAAAATTCCGTTCGAAACTTAAATTGTATATTTATATCAATAATTTGTTTGACAACAAACCGTTTTCGGTTATTGTTTCCTAAATAAATGATTGTGTGACAGTTATGAATAATATAAATCGTCGACTCAATTTTAAGAAACACAACAAAAAAGCCCTTCATTCAATATCTAAGAAAATGGAAACTTATTAAAGTCCGAAACATTAATAAAACAGTGATGTAAGTTACACAACGTTAGAATTTTTCAAAATTTTCAATATCAACCATAAAAACCAAATTATTTGGATCATGGAAAAGATTGCTAAAGTTACTAGAAGCTTCAAATGTAGATCGCTTCTTATAAAGGAATTTCAATAAACTTCTAAAAGGAATGACAACGAAAAACGTATCCCTTCGTCAACGGAGTGGATTTTCACATGCTACAATGTTTTTCAGCCAAGTTGCCTACATTACAAATAAAGGGATAATAACTATTAATAATGCATTTTAAAATTCTTCGGCAGAAATTACGTTCCCAATGTGATTTTCTCATGCTCAATCACTGCGGAGATTAAATTTTAGCGATCGAAATAATATGTCCGGTTAACAAAAATCCCTGAATCAGCAGCTAGAAACCCCCCTTGGCGTAGTAAAGAATTACTAATAGGACCCTTTTTTAAACTTTTCCTACTTACTAAGCAATAAAATTAACTTTTGGTTATTTAAAATGAATAAAAATTTTGGATAATGTAAAATTAGACTAAAAGAAAATTAGTAAAAATCTTACAGGATTATCTATAACATTGATAAGTTTCCTACCCGAACAGGATAAAGATTTTGAACAACTTACGAGGATTATATTATGAAAAAACTTGTATATATATAACGGAGTTATCAATTAGAGATGATCGATCGAATGATGAATCACATGATGCTAGACGTAAAAAAAAAAAAAAAATTATAACTTATAGACATTATGTGCCGGAGTTGATCCAGATAAAACCCAGGTTGCAAAAATGTCACAAATATTTTGATCTATGGATAAAATATAGTATAGATGACACCTACTTTAAATCTGTTGATTATTTATTAGGGTGTCACCTATAAATATTTTATAACAAATATATAGTAGATAAATATTATTTATGCTGTACGTCAGAATGGACAGGGATTCCAATTATAGCCCAAGTTGATACGAAATTTAAAAGCGATTCTAAATTTGATACTGTATAATCGATAAATTTAATAGTAACTAAGTTGATTTTAAATTCGATACTACAATAAGTTACGATAAATTGTCAAGATAAAATACAAATGTTTTATTATTACAGTCGTCCTCCTCTACAGTCACCTCCTATATAATCACACCCTCTTTATAAGCACCATTTTTTGAAAAATTGTTATTGGCAATATATTTACTAAAAAAAACTCTGTATAATCACATTACTATTAAATTTTATAATCAAATCTTTTTTATATAAAGCAAACAGCGTGATTATAGAGGAGGACGACCGTATTATTTTTTTTATTTCACTCTTTTATTCTTTGTAACTTTCTATACTTGATGACCGAATACAAGAGTATCCATTTTTACTCTGTAATGTGCTCAAAGAAATTGCTTTCCAAATATTTTAGTAATGAATCGGGAAATAGAACCTTTATAACACGTGAAAACTTTTATTTTTGCATTAAGTTTACAAAATTCTGCAAATACAATAAAAAAAATACATTTGCAATACGTTATCTTAAAACATACTTGTGTTCATTGAGTCTTGACAAGTTTCCCGAGTTGAATACTATCCCTTCAATGCTCACAAGCATTCGAAAAGCGTTTCACAAGTGGATATTATTAAATGTAATTGCAAAAATGCATGAGACAAAAATCACTTTAAATGTAAAAAAATGCATGACAAAAATCACTGTAAATGTAAAAAAATGAATGTACCCTGCGAAAATAGTTACCAACCTATTAATCATAGATGTAAAAACTTCGTGCATTGCTTTTAAATTTAATTAATTTTTTACAGCATTGTGCTATGAATAAATGTGCTATGAATAAATCCTATCTTAAAGCGACTTAGAATTCTTTAATAACTCGGGCACATTTTAGAATTATTTCGACGCGCGACATTTATACTGTAAGTATGTTTAGAACAAGGTAGTTTGGCTTTATGTTTGTCTATGCATGGGCATAGATATTTAGAGATAGTTTTTTTTTTAATTGTTAAGATAGTATTTATAAGTTATTCTAATATTCAAATTAAAAACTAGCGAGTGACTCCCTACCAATCATGATCATAAATTGTCTTGGGCAAATTGTCGGATACGGTAATTTGACAAATGATTGGCTACACGTGCCGCAAAGCGGCACGTGCTCATTTGCCAAATTACCGTTACTCAACAATTTTTGCCTATACAGTACATATTGGTCACGATGATAATATCATGAAATTTGTTCCGACAGGACGATATTTATCATCGCATGATCCAATATGCACTTAAGTAATAACGTACGTACGTACGTACAAGAAATACAAGAAAAAAAAATCTATGATAAGAGTTTGCACAAATAACAATTTGTTAAGTTTTATTGGTATATTTATTACAGTATTAGAAGTTTGACGCTTTTATAATTTATGCTTCGCACATGAGTACTTTTAGAGTCGCAATAGAATTTTTATTATAATTACATGTAATTTTTATATTTGTTATTAAAATATCTTTATACAAAGAATTTGTATGTTTGCATATTTAAGCATGGTAAAAAATGTTATGAATTAAGCAAGCAATTGCTGAACCGAATTTTACAAATTCTATGATATATATAAATCTAAAATACAAAAAGTTGCTTGCAATTTTATTAAAATTGTTTTTAACGGTAATATATGGTCTGTCTCCATATCTTTCTGACTGATGTCTATCATCTTAATTCATTGCTTACTTTTCAGAATTCCTCATACTATTCTAAATGATATCACCTGCTCTGAACTAAATGCTCATTATCTTCCAAATAAAAAATTACAAATTATACTTAATTCTGGATATAATCAATTCGAGCAAACTGAATTATTGTTATTGGTTATCAGTAGTGTTCCGTATGATTCGGACCGGGCGGGTATTTTTAAAGATCCGTACCCGGTCCGAAAACCGAATCGGATCTAAAGTTAGCCGTATCGCGCAGGTCCGGATCCGAGAATGTGGTGCACGATCGAATGCCGCTTTAGGTTTCAAGTTTATTATTTAATAAACTTGAAAGCCTGAAGTGCATTTTTCTTTGGCAACATTAGAAGTCAGGCGTAATTCGAACAATTGGGAGGTACCGTAATTATAATTAGTTATAACTTGTTAAATACGTAGCATTTTGTGTATGCGCGCTGTAGTTATGGTCTAATGATACGTACAACTGTAGCTTAATTTCCATGAGTTCTGCTTGCGTTATAGTTACATTATTATAGATTGTTTACAGCCACCGTAACCATAACTTGCTGAATGCCATTATTCTGCACCACTAGGAAACACCAGACAACACCCAAATGAAAAAGCGCAATTGATAAATAATTAAGTTGGAATTTATAAGCCTTTATTTAAACCATTACTATTAACATATAATATACGATTTAACAATTTATTTTAAATCTTTTTTTTTGCAAATTGCGAAAACCAGTAACAGAAACAGGTATACATAATATGTGAAATAGAATTTGAATCCTAAAAATAATAATATATAATAAAGCGCTTATGGGGGGATAAGAAAAAAAAACATTTAGTGGTCTTACATGAAATTAGGGGCGTGCCATTTATCACGTGATATTTTTTACTTAGTAGCCACCTCATAGGACGACATTCGTATGATTGGTAGATCTACCCGTGATAATTAACCAATCAAATCAATCAAAAAAATTAAT